CCAAGACCATGGGAATGGGAGACAGAAAGACAGGTGGGCTTCCTGACCCACAGAGGCCAAAGCCAAGGACCACGGATGTGGCTGAGAAGCTGAGGGTCACAGAGACACTTGGTCACTGGCTGAGAAGAGGCGCTATTATGAACGGATGGCCACATCCTTCACTGTTTATTAATCCTGATTTGTGGTAACTTGTTAACTTCGTCAACAAACCCCCCCTAATTGTGAGTTATGTGTGACCAATCACTCAACAAACTTGAACCCAGCAGTGAAGTGGCATCGGATGTCAGAACAGGTGGAGGCATGCCTAACCTCTGCCTTGTGCCAACCGGAGGCCAGCTGTGCAGTTTTACACAAGGACATGGGAACTCTCCATCAAGCACACAACCACATCCAAACCAGTGCTAACTGTTGCACGCAAGAACCAATGAGGGGGTCCGAGACCATATTCTCCATGTATTTTCCCCCAGGTACTTGTTAATGACAGAGGGGAAGCAGAGACACCTGCCAGATCCGACCCGAGCCGGATGGGCGTCGCAGCACCTGTAACAAAATGCAGGGACCACCATGCCTTGGTAGCTGTGCATTTTCATGACAAATGCACAACTCTGGTCTGAAAGTACTAGCGCCCTGGTAGCGTCCTGGTTACATGCTGGGCTGCTAGCCTCAAGGTCGCAGTTCGAAACAACCAGTCACTCCAAGGGAGAAAGAGGAGGCTTTCTACTGCCATGAAGGTTTGGGTCTTCGAAACCCACAGGGCAGTTCTCCCCTGGCCGACAGGGTCACTGAGAGTTGGCGTCAACTGGATGGCAGTGAGATCTCTGTGAGAAACCCTCGGCCCCTCAGCAGCGAGCGGGGGACTACGGAGGAACTGGCCCCCGCGCAGTGCAGATGAGGCAGGGATGGTGCAAGATTCCGGTAGGAGACCTGGGTCTGTTTCTGGACAAAGTACTGCCTGCTCAGCCACCACCCACAAAGGTTTACGTGTAGATACTACGCTGAGCAGGTTTCTGCAGAGCTTCCATACCAAGACGGACTAAGCAATCAACTTCTGCAAAACCAGCCAGCGAAAACGTGATGGATCACACCTGTCCAACGGGTCACCGACACGGGGGATTGCAAGTGTCTCATCCCGAGAATGTGTGGGGGGCAGAGCAGGTAACAGCAGAGAACCATGGCTGTTCAGTGGGCAAGTCAACACTTACTACTGTTGGGGAACGGTGGGGTCTCTGTTCACTCGCTGATTACAGCTGAGAATGTCCATGTTTTTTCCCCTTTTCTCTTTTTGAGAATGTCCATGTTTTCAAAGAAAAACACAGGGGCGTGTTCAGGGACAAAGTGGCATTATGACTAGAACTCACTTTCACGTGGTACATGGAAAAAAATGCATAAAATGGTACCGTTTGGAGAATCTAGGGATATACAATATTTTTTATACTATTCTTCCCTTTAAACCTGAACTGAAAGATAAATGGCAAGAGAAGATGCCAGCTACACAAGTGGGGTTAAAAGGCCCTTTCAGAGACCCAGGCCTACAGGAGAAGTGTCAGTTACCCGAGGCAATCCAACCACAGCCACTCTTCAAGCCTGTCATCCTGGTTTGGGGAACGTCAGCACGCCAGGAGTAGACCAGTGCTCAGTTCCTTTTGCCAAAATATAACGAAGCTATCGAGGAGATTCCCATTGCACAGCGGCCTTCGACAGGGCTTACGAGACAGTAGTCCATCTTTAAGGGAGCAGATAGCCTCAGGGGGATCTGAACCGCCCACCTGGCATGTTCAATGCCTAACCCACTGCATCCACAGGCTCCTTTCCACTCCCGTTACAAAAACTCACTGCCATCTGTGTTGGTTCCGACTCACAGCGACCCTCAGTAACAGGTAGAACTGCCCGGGAAGTTTCTGGGATTCTAATTCTCTATGGGAGTTTCTAGGAAGCTTTTGTCTTTCTCCCTCAGGTCAGCGGCTGGTTTTTGAATGCTGACCATGTGGCCAACACCCCAGCAAGTAACCTTCTATGCCATGCGGGCGGGTTCTTTCCACTCCCTTTAGTTTGTGAACAGTACAAGTAAGGCCTTTCAGCTGCCTGGGAGGGTTAAGACCAGCGAGATGGGAAATCGCAAATGTCCGTGCAGGCGAGGAACAATGGGAAGTCTTATACATTACTAGAGGGGCTGTAAAACGTGCAGCTGCTCTGCTACACAGTATGGATTTTCTAAAAGGTGAAACATTGTGACCTTGTGACCCAGCACATTCCTTTACCTTTCATTCCACTTCTCAACGAAGGCCAACAACTCCCTCACATACACATACCCAAGGTGGCTGAAAACACCTCACAAAAACCAGAAGGCGGCCTGTCCACTGTGGCCAGGTCGATTCTCAATCCTAAGTCAATCCTATACACTTCAAAGACGTGAACTTAAGTCCTCATCTCTCACCAAAGCTCCAGGTCCCCTCTGCGGAATCAAAGGGAGCTGCGTGCGCTTTGAAACTGCGCGCGTTTTTAAATCAGCACTCGGTGTCTTAAAGCAACACTTCCTGTCCCACACATTAACACACACTGGCAACACCAAATGCACATCACCTGCTCTTGACAGCTGTGGGCATTCGCCACCGATGCCCTGCCGGCCCCGTCCTCCATCCCTAGCCCAGAGGGCTCTTCCGTCCAGGCCCAAGAGGAGCCAGGCATCAACCCCAACAGTAGGACTTCATCCCAGACTCAGACCAAAGGCCAAGGCAGGCTTTCCCTCGGCCCCACCAGCCACTTCTCTCCATCTTCTACATCACCTCATCCTGTCACGGAGGGCAGGTCTGTAATTTGTCCCGGGCATGGTTCCCTTGCTCCCAAACGTCCCTCCCGTCAGATCACCTCCCAGGTCTATCCTCCGCAAGCCTCTTACCTGGGCCCGCAGCAGAAACGAAGGCTTATGGGTGACAGGGAACCAGTCTGCTGAGCTGCACATTGTCGTCGACACTGCCTGCAAACAGGCAACATTCCTGCCAACGTCCAGTCCAAAATCAGACACTGACCTGGTGGAAGAACTGGGCCCAGCGCAGGAATTCGTTCCCCAGTGCATGGCAGCTTGGGCGGATGCAAGAGGACCAGTCTTCATTCCTTCCACGTGCCCCTTAGGGTTAGCTGTTCTCAGCCCTGGTGGGGAACAAGCCCAAACTACCCACCACACTTGTGAGCTATGACCACAGCAAGCATGCTCGTGGTGGGATTGGCCATCAAAAGCCTCTAAGGCCAGTTCAGTGCAGTGCCCCACTCTCTCCCTGGCCTCTCACCTCCACAGTACAGCAGGGTGAACAGGCAGCTCCAGGTAAAGGCCACCCCACCTGGTGTCCTGCCACCTGGCAAGTAAGAGAAGAATGACCTCTTTGCATGCCAGTCCCCAGCCCTGCAGCCCAGCCCCCAGTAATGGAACGGACAGACAAGACAGCAGTTCTACACACAGTTCTATTTTATTATGGCGAAGGTGAAAACGCCACCTTCCCCACAACAGCAAACAGTAAAGTTTATCCCAAAAATAACTCGGTACAAAACATGTCTGTTTCAAAATTAAAAAAAGAAAAGAAAAAACCTTTACATGAGCTTTTAAATCCTATTTTAAAACATAAATGAAACAAATCCATCACTGGAGCCCAGTCAAGGCCCGCCAACCCTCCCTCTCCCGGCAGGAAGCATGGGTGAGATGTCTGGGTTTGTTCTGTGCGCGCATGGGCTGCCATGGGTTTAGCTAGTATCCATCTGAAAGAAAGAGGAGGAAAGGTTTTCTTTCAGCAGATCAGCCTCATTCAGATGGCCACCAGTTTCTAGAACCCCTGCCCCAGGACTTACCCGGGCATTGTAAGCATCCAACTGGGCATCTAACTCCTCTGCCGAGAGCTGCTGCTTCGAACTCCTGCCAGTTCCTCTGCCTCGTCCCCGGCTGCCACCACGGGTGCCTCTCCGGCTGCCACCACCGAAAGCCCCGGACCCACGGTTTCTAGTCATACCGCCTCTGTTTATACTGCTGAGGAAAACAGCGCTCATTAAAGTCCTGAAAGTCACATGGCTGGAGGGTGGGGGCAGGTGACCTTCCACAGATCCACTCACCTCTGTGCAGGTCTTCGCTGTGTGTCTATCTGTGACGTGACCAGCTGGATATTCATGGGGCGGCCTATAGCAAAGAACACGAGAGTTTCAGTGACAGGTTGGTGTGACCAGTGCCAGGTGCCACCTCTCCCTGGTGTCCATGCAATCAAAGGGTCTCTGCATCTCCAGTGCTTCCTACAAAGAAGCAGGTCTGCTAACACTGGTGGGGGGGGCGGGGGGACAGAAACACCCCCAACACTCTGCCTTCAGTTTCTGTCCAGGCCAGGTGGGCTGTAAGGTAACTTGTCTGGGGTTCTTGTGGGTAGCAAGGTGTGGGTGACCTCACGGAAATAGAACTGGTACCTTTGTCTTTACGACTACAGCCCCGCACTATGGCAGTTCTGAGAAGGCTTCACAGAAGTGAATCTTCCGGAAGGAGCTGAAGGAGGGGAGGGATGTAGCTTGCTGGATGGGGGTTCACAAGAGGTTGGTCCAGATGTGTGGGGCAGCATGAGAGGTGGCAGAATGGAAGAGAGAGACAAAGGGGCAAATGCAAAGTGTCCTTAGCCACGGGGAAGCCATATTCCTACAGGACAAGAACCAGCCCCAAACGCCACCAGCGTAGGCTCTGGTCCTTTAAGTGTCCTGGTCCAGGCTAACACTCACCATCCAATGGGACTCCGTTGTACTGTTTCATCGCTTTCAAGGCATCTGCCTTCCGCTCAAAGTGCACATCTGCCGTTCCTAAACTCCGACCAGAGCGGTCATAATGCACAGCTGCCTTCTTCAGGGTTCCAAATTCAGCAAAGAGTTCCTGGGAGTCAGAGGGGCCGTTGTTAGCAAGGCTGTTGATCTCCGGGTGCCAGGCGTCACCCGGGCAGGGAACGGGACACAAAGGAAGTTGCAACTCCCACCACAGAGGCCACAAGATCACATCACAATTGTCTCTGAACAAGGAACAAACGCTCCCAAGGAGTATCCAAGAAGCAGCCAAGGCCAAGATCACAGCTCTGGCAGCGGTCCACCGACTAAAGAGCCCCGACCCTCATCCACCACAAGCAGTCATTCTCTTCCCACTCAAGCCTGCAGAAAAGGCCCACGTCAAGCACCGGAAACTGCCCTGACCTCAGACCGGCTGGGAGTTGGAGAAGGAACCCAGCCACGCAGTGGGACGTGGAGTTCACCAAAAGCGGTTTCCAGTGGCTGCCAGAGACCACCTTAAAAAAAGTATTTTATTGAGTGCCCAACGGGTCTTGCTCTGTCCTGCCAGGGCCAAGCCCCACAGCTGGCCTAAGGGCAATGGAACTCTGGGAGGCAAAGTACCCTGACCCAGTCACCTGCAAGACGCCCCCCGGGAGTTTACTCCCGAATCAGAAACCCACCGGTGAAGGTTCATTTAAAAACAAAGCAAAATAAACCTACTGAGGCTAAGAATCA